ATGATAAGAACCAGTTTATGAATTTTGGGGGGAAAGCCACAGAGGTAAAGTGCCATTTTGACCACAACATGTCAAAGGTACATACGCTGGATGTGGCCTCACTGTTGACAGTAAGCATCTTGCTGAGATGATCTTGTCACGTTTCTTTATGATACAATTACTCTTTTTTGCCCCCTTCTTCAGTGTGGTCTTTGGAAGGAAGCTGCCATGCACAGCCCACGCTTGAAAGCCTGGGCTCTTCCTGGAGGTAACACCTGGCAAGATGTGTACATGTGTGAGGTAGAGGGTGAGGGGAGCTACATATGTGTGTGGCAAGAGGACAAAGGCTCCCAAGAATTTCTTGTCACTGTAAGTCACACGAAGCCTCCAGCAATTGGTCAAATTTCCACTTCTGTGTTTCCACTAGTTATGGCTCTGACAGTTTCTTCTCCATGTGAGCAGATCTCAGCCATGACTCTCTGGAGCCCTCTAGCTTTCTAGATTTCAGGTGGCAATCTTCCCTGCAATATCCATTTATCGATACATCTGAGAAAAGTCATTGAGTTTGGGTTTGTCCAGCTTTCTCTTGTAAAGATGGTATACTGATTTGCTAGGGCTGCCATGACACTGTATTGGAGAGTGGGTGCCTTAAATGACTGAAATTTGTTTTCTCCCGGCTCTGGAGGTTAGCCGTCTGAATTCATTGCGTCATAAGGGATGGTTTCTTCTGCGACCTCCCTTCTTAGGTTCTAGATGACCGTCTTCTGTCTTCTACCAGAGCCTTCACATGGTCTTCTTTCTGCATTACCTGTTATTTCCTCTTCTTACAAGGATGCCAGCCTGTAATATCGGATTAGGGCCGACCCTAGTGATCTCATTTTAACTTAGTTACCTTTTTCCTAAATATAGGGAGTAAGGATTTCAACATATGCACTTTGAAGGGACAGGGAGGTGCCAGTAAGCAACCTTTTAATATCAGTGTTCTATGCACTGTGCTCGGGTGTGCTAAATCTTATTAGCAAAAGGCCCATAGTGAATTGTCACTAAAGATCTATATTAGCCAGGGTTCTACAGAGAAAGAACCGATAGGAGATATATATTTATACTATACCTACATCTATCTACTCTACCTAGATTTCTAAGGAGATTTATTATAAGGATTTGACTCATTTGATTATGGAGGCTGGGAAGTCCCACCGTGTGTCCACTGCAACCTGGAGAAGCTCAAGAAAACCTATGGAATAGCTTGAAGGTCTGCAAGCCAGAGAACCAATGTTCTTAACTCCAGTCTGGGTTTCAGAACCAAGAGTGCTGAGGGTACCAGAATCAGAACCAAATAATTCGTTGTTATTATTACCTAAGCCAAAGAGGATAATCCCTTAAACAAGAGAGGAATAAGATTTTATACTGTCGGGAACTCACCTGAGTAAGGAGAGACAGGGAGCTGCCAGGTGTCAGAGTGGTCAATTAAAGCAACAAGCCATAAAGTATTAAGTCTTTAGTCACTTTGACGGCATCAGCAAGAGTCATTAAAAAAATGGAAAGAAAAGCCAACTCTATTTTCTCCCATTGAATGGTACACTGGTTAAGAGTCATGTGGATCAGCGTAGACATGGGGATTGTCTTACTTTTGAAGGAACCATGAACAAAAGGCTACACTTGTTTTATGAACTACGGGGAATTGGCAAAGTAAAGAAGTACAAGTGGAAAAATAGTGGGCACTGAGTAAGAGTAGGGCTAAGTTTAAGGTTTCTCCCTCATCCACCATAAGGGGGCCTCAGGGAGGTCCAAGAAGACCAATGCCCATGGCTTCAGATGAAAAGATCTAGGAATGAAGGCACCTGGACTAAAAATGCAAATATCTAAAAGAGGAAGGCAGTCCATGAGGGCCTATTTCTATGACTACAACTAATCTCAGAGACTGTGATCCACTGGGTGTGGACCAAGCTGGATATGAGAAGGACAATTTCCCCACCATGGCCTCCCAAGCCTTTACAATTGCCTATGATCAAGCTGGAAAAAATCACATGTAGGTTTTTAACCAGGAATGAGACTTCTCATATACCAAATTATCTCCAAAGGAATTGAAACTTCAGAATAAAAGCAATTATAATCTGCAATATTATGAAGGTTAAAAATAAGAAAGAACATATTTAAAGATAGTTTGTACATTGTTTGAAAGTTTTGGCTATAATGCATAGGATTCCCTAATTAAGTGCATGCAAATATGCTTTCAAATACAACAAATTTACTAAGATTTTCAGAATAGTTATCTTTAAAATCGGTGAATGCACAGCCGACTTTCATTTTAAATTGTGAAAGGAAATGTGGAAATAAAATTTGGTAAATTTCAGAATCATTGAAGAAATAAAGTGAACTCAGGAGGAATCTTTCTATTGCATTACAATGAGTAAACAAGTGAATGATCTATACTTTAAAGAGCAGTAGTTCTCAATCTTTACCTTAAAAAAAGCTTACAAAAATGCTTATTATGGTAGCAATTCCAGACTTTCTCATCAGTATAACACAGATAAAGCCTAAAAGTCTAAATTTCTAACAAACTCGTTGAGATAATTCTTATTTACATAGCCATTAGACTTTGGGAGACATTTCTATATAATTAATTTAAATGGAACAATTTTATTATTCTGAAATGAAGGGAAATAGTTTGATAAGGTGGGAAATAGTTTGATAAAAGTCTAGAAGCTTTTAGTAGTGTCTTATCTGAGGTCTGCCAATGAGTCTTGCTAAAAATCACCTAAGTAATCTCCTGAGTTTATAGCTTCTTCATTGTTAGAATATGTTCATTTAATTGCACAATTTCAGTGTTCCCACTAAGTTCTAAAATTCTATGTGGATAACTAAATTATGATATTATTATGGAAACGTCCTTTGACTACTTTTAGAACCACTCAAATTCTCACAAATAGTGATTTTTTTTTTCAAATTTTGAATTGGCACCATTTTATTTAAACTATTTCTTGGATTTGAGAGGCATTCACAACCTATGTACACAAAGGATACATTCCTGGAAATGAAAGTTCTCACTAGTCTATGGACTCCCTTTATTCATGACAGGGTGACCTTTGTGCTTATTTTTCTAGCTAAAAAGAATGACAGACTTTTCATGAAAGAACTTGACAAGGAGAGATTTATTAATTGATAATAACATTTGGAGTGAGGATTATCTCAGATTTCAATTTTATTTTCACTTATTTCTAACAAGTGAATTATAAGCAATTATTTTCTTACATATAGTGAATCCTGAAGTTCCACATGAAAAAAATGAGCATTTGGTACAATAACATTTTATTTTAATTTTATCCAGTTGACTCTATTCCTTTCAGAAACAACATAGAGATGTGGTCAGGTACAAAGTGCTCACATGTCAAACTGCCCTATTAAGATCCAAACTATAACTTTCCTGCTGAAAAATATTGGACAAGTGCTTAATCATCTGTAGATATAACTCAGTTTTTCAGAATCTACAAAATGAGGATGTTAATAATAGTGGCTATCATTTGCTTTTCTGTAAGTTGATCAGAGTGCTTCCCATTGAGAGCTTACTTCAGCTTATAGAACATACACTAAAACATATTTTGAGTCAATCTTGATCGAATTCATACGTCAACAAGCAAGCATGGCAAACATCACACTCAAGTACACTAATTTTCCGAACCAGTACGCTTAAACACACAGATAAGTGGCCAGTCTTATGCCAAGTCATTCAAGTGTATTAGGACACAGGAAGCCAAATTTGTCCCATTTCTAAATATTCACCACTGTAGACCAAGTCGTGTCATATTCAATAAAAGTAAAGCATTGCAAGGAACCTACCATTCCTATAAGAAACATCCTTGGTATTAAGGGTCAATATTTCTCAATCTTCATTATAACCTTCTGCCTATGGAAAATCTGCCTGAGGCAGCTCAAACATTTCACACCCAAAGTTTTCTTTCTGCACTGAAACCGCAATGTATCAAGACTAAATGTACGTATGACAAAATTGTGATCATAACAGCACAGCACCGTAACCTAATGTTTTATAGAATCTCAATAGACAAAGGAAAGGATTTGTAAGGATTTGTCAAAACAAATGTCTACGTAGGTAACCCGCAGTCCCTTAATACGAACTTCCCAAATCTCTGACTGTGAATGTGATGATATATCACCTTTGTGATTATGTAACTTTACATGGCAGATGTAATTAAGGTTATGAGTTGACTCTGAGTTTTATTCAAAAGAGAGAGCATTAGGGTACTGCTCATCATGTGAGCTATTTAGAAGAATTTTCCTTGGCTGATGGCCAAAGGGAAACTCAACAGAGATTCAAAGCAGGAGAAAGACTTGAATCATTATTACTGATTTGAAGATGGAGAAGGCCGGGGCGCCTGGGTGGCTCAGTCGGTGAAGCGACGGACCTCAGCTGAGGTCGCGATCCCACAGTTCATGAGTTCGAGCTCCACATCAGGCTCCGAGCCTGGAGCCTGCTTCGGATTCTGTCTCCTTCTCTCTCTGCCCCCTCCCCCACTCGTGCTCTGTCTCTGTCTCTCAAAAATAAAGAAATGTAAAAAAGACAAATTTTGTTTGAAGATAGAGGAGGCAGCCACGTATGCAAGAATGTAAATGACCTCTAGAAGCTGAAGATAGCCCCCGGATGATAACCATCGAAGAAACAGAGACAGACATTAGAACACAGCTTTAAGAACTGGATTCTGTCCACACTTGACATGAGATTGGAAGCAGATTCTTCCTCCAGATCCTCCAGATAAAAGCCCACCCACCAGATACCTTAATTTTGCCTTGTAAGATTCAAAAGCAAATAACTCAATCAAGCCTGCCCAGAGTTCTTACCTGCAGACCCGTGAGCCAATAAACAGGTATGTTTTAAGTTGTTAATGTATGATCATTTGTTACATAGCAATAGAAATCTGATATGGAACCCTTGGCATTCAGGCATGCGGAGGAGGTCATCAACAGAATGAGACTATCTTGTGATGCACAAACTGGACCTAGGCAATCAGAAGCTCCTTATCCTCTCCCCTGTCCTGGGAATGTACCTCTGACGTACTATTCCCAGAGCCATAACCATTTCAAGGAGGCAGCCTTGAGAGATTAATTAATGTGTTGTCAGGAACATCTGCACGGTGTATGTACCTAAACCCCGTTTACAAACTTTTAAGATGCTGGTGGGTGAATGTGGAGATGTACTCATCTTGTGGATCACCCAAGATAAACCTCATATGTAAGTTCCCTCGCTTATTAAAAGTGTTACCTACCAATATGGCGTGGTCTTTCTTCCATCTCTCCTTAACCTCTGTGTATAAGAGCTAGTTTCCAGTTTCACCTGGGTAACTCCCAATGTTGAGAACCAACAAGACTTTCTACGTGTTTTTCCTGACCCACTTAATGCAGAAGTGGAGCTGTGAACATTAGACGGCACCTGTACTACTGGTATATTGAGTTCTACTTCATGATGCCCACACCTATTGGCCTGAGACTTCGTTTATACAGTCAAAGTTCTGACAACATTCTTGGATACCTGGCAAGAATATCTGAAGAGTCCCTCTTTTTGTGGTAAGCACATACGCATTTGCTCAGATATTCTTCTGGTCAAATAAACAACTCATCTATTTTTGTTTTGTTTTGTTTAATTTCAGTGAACTTGGGGAAGGTGGTTAACCTTTTTGATACACTTTTCATTTTTATAAAATGTAGCTAGTAATATCTATGTCATAATATTTTTAGAAAACACATTGAAATATGACATGTGTAAGGCAAATAGAGCAAAACTCTAAAATGTGGAAACTAGCAGATGGATATTAGGCTATTCACTGCACAATTAGTTCACCTCTTCTGTGTGTCAGAAAATGTTCATCATTGAATTGTTTAAAATAAAGCTATTGCAAAGTTTGAGCAAGAGATGATAGGTGTGTGGGCCTAGATGGCATTGAAGAGTTAAAACTATTTGCAGATGGCATGATTTTATAGATAGAAAATCCTGAAAATACACTTAAAAATCCTGTTAGAACTAATAAACAAATTTAGTAAAGTTGAAAGATATAAAATCAATACAGAAAAATCTGTTGCATTTCTATACACTAATATGAACTATCAGAAAGAGAAATAAAGAAAACAATCCCATCTATAATTGCATCTAAAATAATAAAATACCTAGAAATAAATTTAACCAAGGAGGTTAAACCTGTATATTGAAATGTACAAAATATTAATGAAAGAAATGAAGAAGACACAAAGAAATGGAGAGATATTATGTGCTCATGGATCAAAAGAGTCAATACTATTAAAAGGTCGTTCCCAAAGCAATCTACAGATTCAGTGTAGTCCCTATAAAAATTCCAATGGCATATTTCCAAGAAATAGAATAATCTTAATATTTGAATGACACAAACAAACAAAAAATAAACAAATGAAAAACCAATGAACCAAAGGAATCTGGAGAAAGAATAAAGCTGGAGGTATCATGCTCCCTGATTTCAAACTATATTACAAAACTATAGTAATTAAAACAGTATGATATTGACATAAAACATACAGATCAGTGGAACAATTGAAAGCCCAGAAGGAAATCCATGCATATATGGTCAATTAATTTACAACAAAGAAACCAAAAATACACAATGGAGAAAGGATAGTCTTTTCAATAAATGATATTGGAAAGACTGGTCAGACACATGCAAAAGAATGAAACTTGACCATATTCAAAACCTACACCATACACAAAAATTAACTTAAAATGGATTAAAGATTTGAATGAAAAACCTGAATCCAAGGGCCCAATATTCTAAATATATGAAGAACTCATACAACTCAAAATAATTAAACAAAATCAGGTTAAAAAATGGACAAATCTGAATAAAGATGTTTTCAAACACCTAGAGATGGCCAATAGATACAGGAAGTGATACTCAATATCATTAATAATAAAGGAAAGGCAAATTAAAATCACATTGAGATATTGCCTCACACCTGTTAAAATGGCTATTACAAAAAAGTAAGAAACATTAAATACTGGCAAGGATGTGGAGAAAAGGGAACGCTTTGTTCACTTTTGGTGAAAATGTGAATTGTTGCAGCCACTCTGAAAAAAACAATGGAATTTCCCCCCAAAATTATAAATAGAACTAACATATAACCTAGCAATTTCACTTTTGGTTGTTTATCCTAAGAAAACAAAAACATTTATTCAAACAGATATATGCCTCCCTATGTTCATTACAGCATTATTTACAATAGCTAAGATATGGAAAAAATCCAGAGTATCCATTGATGAATGAATAGATAAAGAAATTGTGGTATGTACATACAATAGGATATTATTGAGTCATAAAAATGAATGAAATCTTGCCATTTATGACAGCATGGATGGACCTTGATAGCACTATGTTTAGAGAAATAAGCCAGAGAGAAAGACAAATACTGAAATACTGTATGATTTCTCTTATATGTGGAATTAAAAAAAATCTGAGTAAAGACAAGAGATGATAAGTGCTTGGGCCCTGGTGGCATTCATTGGTAGAGATGGAGAGTTTGGGCTGAACTAAAAGATGCTGAGAAAATAAATTTGCCTGGATTTAGTTATAATTCATGTACTGGAATCAGGCAGGTGGCAAGGTTTGTTCATAGGTTCTGGACTTGTACAACTGGTATTTTGAAAGTACTATTAACACATCTTTTGCATGGGAGAATGACTTGGCTGGGGTGCGTTATGGTTTTGGTTGCAGAAATGTTAAATCTGAGGTATTTTAGAATCTAAGAGTTAAACTCATCAAATAGAAAATCCACCATTATTATAATGTTCACTTAAATATTCAGATTTCTACTGGTTCCAATAGACAAGAAACCATACATAACCAAATGTTGGTAAACCATGTAATTGATCACAAAAAAAAAAATATGAGTTGTTTTATAGTATTTTTCAACAAAGCTACACAAAAAAGCAATAAGCTTTCTTCTTCACTTCTAAATAAAATCGGTTGGTGAACACTTAGCACTCTAGATAATGTTAAAGAATAAAACAATAAATAACAGATGGGGACCTAGAATAAAGAGTGGGTTAGGTAAAGTTTGAAAGGTACAAAAGTTTTAGGCAATTATAAGGTTTGAGGACACAGTCCGCACAAAATTCCTCTTACTTGTGATACCACTTGCAAGAGTGGGGGAGTTTCCAAAACCACTGTCAGTTTTAATAATTCACTAGAAAGACTTATGAAACTTACTGAAAGCTGTTATATTAATCGCTATGGTTTATCACAGGAAGGGATACAGATAAAAATCAGCCAAGGGAAGTATATGGAGCAGAGTCAGGTAAACACTAAACATAGAGCTTTCATTGTCCTTCCCCCATGGAGGCATGATTGCATTACTCTCATGGCATCAATATGTGATAGTATGCATGGAGAGTTGCCAACCAGGGGAGCTCAAATGACACTTGAGGTCCATTATGTGTCACGATTAATTAATTGATTGCCCAGTGTTTTATCTCAGTCTCCAGGTCATCTGACTGTGTGACCCAAACCCCCCACCCTAAATCATATTATTGATCTTTGTAGCATGATTAACCCCCACCCTGAACAAAGGTTATTATCAGGCATGACATTTTGAGTGTAGAGATTAGCTTCTAGAATCTGAGGGCAAAGGCTAGATCTCTTTTGGGACAAAATTAAACATTTTATTATACTCAGGTTTTTCAAGGAAGAAATATGGGCACCTCATTATTTTATAAAACTTACTGGCATCTTGGTCTAGTATGCTATGGTATAAATGTGACAGGGTTCTTTAAAAATTCCATCAGTGCTATTACAAAGTCTGGCTGGCATAAGGTACTCATTACTTCACAAGCTCAGGAAGAGTAAGTGCATACATTATAGACAAGATGATCATAATTTAAATTATCTATCATGTTAAATGATCTTATTATGTAATTTGCCTCCACTGAATTCATGCTGCCTTAAATCAATTGGTTGGTAGTATTACGAAACATATTGCAGTTTCTAAATTGTTTTAAAAGTATTTTCATGTTGTTAATCAGGCAATATTCACAGTTAAGTTGGAAGAAATCAGAAACTTTTGTTAGAATATTAGGGAATTCATCTGGCCTACCCCTCACCCCCATTTCCAACTCTGGTTAAGCAAGATTAAGGTTCAGTGCAAAGTCATTACCTGCGAATAGACAACTTCATCTAGATTACTATTGATGTATCCTTCTCTGGCATCTCTCCTACTATTCAGATTCCTAGTGCCTTCAGTTTCACAAACTTCGTCATCTGATAGAACAGATAGATCTCTCTAGTCTTCATCAACTTTTCTCTTCCTCACAATGAATTCCTCCCTTCCTTCTTTTATTTAACAAACATTTACTGAACACCAACTGTATGTAAGGTTATAAAGATGCATTCACCACAGCTGGTGTTAGGATTCAGTGAAGGAAAAAAAATATGCGAACACATAATACAGTCAAATAAATACTACGAGATTTAAATACAAAGTCCTGAGGGTCCTAAAGAAAAGATGGACCAACATGTTTGGGATTGACATTGGAAATGTGTGTAATTGTGCTTGGCCCAGGATGAAGAAAGAAAATTTACCGATAGATGATTTGGGAGAATTTGGGAGGAGCATTAGAGGTAAGAGGAAGTAGGGGTGGAGGATGGGGTAATGGAACATTCTACTGAAGAAATCAAATGATTACAGTGGAGGGTCTGGAAACAGGTACTCTGTTTGCAGAACTTCAACATGTCTAGATTTAATGATTACCTCAAAAGAGGCAGGGGACAATGAATGAGTAAAGAGAAACAATTACTGTTACAGGTGATGGGAAGCCATTGAAAACTAAATAGAAGACAAGCATGATCAGAACTGTGTTAGAAAGATTAACAGCAAAAATTTCCATTTCCATAGGGTAAGAGAAGGATGGTGTGACTTCCTAATATAAAACTTTCAGTAGCTAATATTTTTTTGAAGGTAAAATTTGTAATCCTTATAATTGCATCATTTTCTTGCAGTTGTCCACCCATACTGCTTTTGGCTCATAGATTTTGTTTAAACCATACTGAAATTTAACTTAGTTGTATCTTCTACCATTGGGTTCTAAAAATAGAGCAAGTATTAGAGTAGATTGATGTTTCTTTTGTCAAAGAGAATATCAAACATAAAAATAACATTGAACCAACAAATATGAAAAAAGCCCATTAACTGGAATTATCCTTATGTTTAATATTTAAAATAATAGCAAATCCTTGTTGCAGGGAGATAATTATGAAACTCTCTGTTTACCTTTCTGGAATCAGTAAAAATTTGGCCTGATTCCTCTACGAAAGGACACATGGCACAGTAATTCACATTTATTGATATCTTCATTACCTACAAGATCCATATTAATAAAAAATAACAAATTTGAATTGTTTTCTCTTAATTATGTTTGACAAAGAAAAGAGTATATAATGATGGCAAAATAAGACATTTTAGTGAATTCCTGTACATTAAGTATATTATATATACTTGTACATATATACCCACACATATATCCTATATATATATATATATACATACATACTATATCATACATAAATATAGATCTTATGTATGTTTGTATATATATACATACATTCATAC